CATTATTAGTGTAGTCGGCATACATCTTAGCTCCTGCTTACCTCGAGTTGAGGAAGATCTTATTTCAGAAAATTTTCTTCTCATCAGGTGCATGTTCGTTTCAGCTAAAAGACCAAACACGTGATTCTTATCTGTGCATGCCTCATATCCTTCTACGGTTACCTACGATTAAGGATTCTTGACAGAATCCGAAACGTCAGGAAAATAAAATAATTGTTTCAGCGATCGCACCTTCTTATTCTTCAAAACAAACTGCATCTCTACTAAAGTTACAGGAAATAATCGTAAAGTTGGGATCCCATCACCTGAACAGATCGGTTTCTTTTTGGGAACGTATATGAAGTAGAAAACGGCGGATGGGTTTGCATTAAGGCAAATTCTTAATAGCAGGCAGTCAGTTAACTAGGAGCATGGTAAGTACTATTTTTCATCAATTAAAATACACGAGACAACGAACTCTTCTACGTCTTCTGTCAGTATCGTGGTTAGTTTATAAAAAAAGTTAATTTCCTGCCAAATAGTGACTGTAGATGGTAGCTACAAATGTGTAAAATCCCTTTTAGGTTTTCGCGAGTTCTTCACTTTTCTGCAGTGTTTATAAAACCTAGAAACACCGATAAGGAGTTGTATGGATGACTTTCTTAGTTTTGCCCATACTTTCAAGCAACACGTCCAACTGGTGGTTAACAATACTATGGCATTTCCACCAGTTCTAATAGTTGAGACCGAGTTATTTGTTCGGTTTTCATTAATGGGGTGAATAAAAAGAGAAATTCAAATTGAAAAAAACTGACTGTGCCATCCTACTTAAATATACTGGACTACGAACAAAACGGCAGGGAAGTTGCTAGAGGTCTAAATATCTGATACAAGTCGAAACATTGTTTACCTCCTGCATATCATGGCCTGCGCACGCACTGCCAAATGACGTGATGCCGTTCCTAACTTGTATCATACTTCTTAACTTGCTAACATTTAAGTGATATGACAGATTTGCTGGTGCCAAAATGGGAGGTAAGTAGAATCCATTGAAGATGACGCTGAATCCTGAACCTGTCTCTCGTGTACTTATGAAGACTGTGAACCACAATGTCTCAGGTACCCTAAAACATCACCTTACTCCATCACAACACACCCACAGCACTCGGCAGCACTCGCCACTGGTGCGTTAGACAGATCAACCTTCCAATCGATATATGTTTGCTTCGTACCAGATGATTTGGCTTTGACCATGGCGAGGACAAGTAAGCTTCATGCTGCTTTTCCGCCGCTAAAGATACAGGTTCGCACATGATGATGAACTATACAAGCCCCACGTCTGTCACTGTAACATAGTTATCTGGAGCGCTGTGGCACCGCATGGGCCCAAAGTTTCGGATAAATAAACAATTTTCATGCCGCAGATAAAACCTCATTTTTGTAAGCATTGTAGTCACGACTCACAAATAAATCTGCCATTGTGACCGTCAGAGCGGGTTTTCTCTCACGAATATATTAGTCGGTCATTTTAAAATTGCTCTCATCGTATGAGCGTAAAACACACAATTATACATTTTCATAAAATCTATGGTTGCGTAATGCCTTCCAGCCTACCGTGTACTGCCCCGGCAGTAAGGTTGCATTTCTAATGAACACTAGCGTGTGAGTACCAGCGATGGTCCGTCCTCTGACCTTCGAACACTTTATCTTGTGCAAGTATCCCGTCCATCTGTCCATTCAGTGAACGTCTGGTTTTCAGCCAATCATTGCTATCGCA